ATAGTTATGATGTGTGAATACATAAATCTATAAATCTGAGTTCTTAATAATGAAAGTGCTATAAAAATAATATAAGTTGTACACAATCCAAACTAAAATGTATTAGTAAGAAGCCACATAGCTTACAATGTCCCCATGAAGGTGGATACAGGGTTCTCTAAACACGAGCGTGATTCTCACGCCATGCGTGATTTTCACGCCAGGCGTGACAAAAGTTTATTCCTGATTGGCTGTGTGAAGCTTATGAAGCGTGAAAAGGACGCTTGCGATTCGTGAACTCTGTATCCACACTAACACTACAAAAACTAGTATCTACATTTTATCTGTAACAGGACGGCACTACGTTTCCAAACATAACAGACAGTTCATTTACAAAATAGAATGTATCACAATCAATGAGCATAACAGATGTACTAAAGTAAAAATGTAGACAGCACATACAGAAAAAGCAACAGTGTAGATATATTTATGTCAAAAAATCCAAACTTGCCTTGGCCTTTTCAAGCTCATGTAAGAAGGAATAAAATTGAGGTAGAGTCATTTCTAAGTACACATTCTTATGTTGTTTGTCACCGCTTTCAACAGTAATTTTCAGATGCAAGTACGAGGTTCCCACTTTATCCTCTTCACTTGTGGATGCTGTCACACCAAACTTCCAATCGACGTCCACCACTTTGTTCATTTCAATGCTGTCGGCCATGGTACGACTTGTGGTTGGATACGTTACAGCACTGGTTTTAAGAGCTCACGTCAAATATCAAGTTTGACAGCCAAGCTTGACAACTCGGCACTCGGCGGCAGTCAGTGGGGAATGAATGGGGTTAAAGTCTTCTGCTAGCTCCAAAACAAAACAAAGCACGAGTGCCAATATCGTTTCCCTTGTCTGTTTTCACTTTAGGAAGGCAGTACGATGGCATTTGCATTATTCACACCACGCCTAGTGGCCGGCCGCAGAACATCGAGTTGACAACAGACAGACGGACTGTCATTGACTTTTGTGTTGTTTTGGTGAATTTGCTCTTTTCAGACAGTTTGGTTTGACAAAAAACTTACGTTCGTATCTAGGAGAATTTCATCATGACCGCCAACGAGTGCTACCGGCCTCCTACTGACGCTCAGCTGCGATACACGGTGCAGTGGTTCCACGAGTGGAGCGAAATGCAGAGAGGGGACTTTCTGCCCATCCTAGCTCAAAAGCTGGCTCCCGGTAGCTATATCAACGGCCTGCTCTCTGGAGTAGAAACTTTGTCTTGTAACGAAGGTCGACCACCGAGTCTCTTCCAGTGCAGAGTCAAGTTGTTCAGAGAATGGTTCGAGACCTGGAGTCAGGCTGAGAGGGACCAGTTATTGGGACATATCAAGAGCATGGACCCCAACTTCTTTAACAAGGTTCAGGAAGAGCTTGAAACACTATCCAGCAAAGCAGGCAATGGTCCAATTCCATCAGAAAATGGAGACGTAGCTCACGATGCCACAGAGGAAAATGGAATTGTTGAGGTGAATGGGGAAGAACCTGCTGAAGCTGAGTCGAATGCCGTAGAAAATGGTGATGAGCCAGAGGATGCCCCAGCGACAACAAATGGGGTGGAGGAGACCCCTTTGAGCTAGTTCATAATTTGGTATTGACTCGTCAGCTGTGAGTAAGAAAAGGTACTTGATCCCAGATTTTTAGCTGAATTATACTTAATAACTTAAAGTATTATTATGTTATAGTTCTTTGAAAATTCTGCTTCACTAATCTTTTTTTCTTTTTCCCAGATGTGCCACATTTCTACATAAGACTTCTTCAGTATTGCAGATAACAGCAAAGACTAGAGGTTTGTACACGTATCTTAGTAAGCAAACACATGAGATAAGAGCACGTGTGGTGCCTTTTTGGTACCAACACCAACAGTCTTCAACTAATAGCCAGTAAATTGTTCTTGGTCTACCTTTTTGTTCACTATACTATAAATGTTATAGGAATTTTTACAAACTTCTGACAATATGTCCATTGTACTGTATTTACAATTACCCATACCCATATATCTACTTCTGTTTCATTATTCATTAGCCAACCTAGCTTTGACAGAACTTGGCAGCTGGAGTTTTGTACTAAACAACTCTGTATTAAAATCTGAGTCTAGTTATATACATTCCTCACGGTCATAGTGATAATACTTAGGAAAGATGCCTTTTAATATTTATTTTTTAAAGTAAGAGTTGAATTAGTGGGCCACATTTTATGGTTGTGTAACAGACATTTTATAAGAAAATGTTGTCAATTCATAAATAATTACACAATATACAAATATTGCGCCTTGCCTTTTGCTTGAGTGAGAAACTTTGCAGTTTTATCACAAAATATTTAATTCTAGTACATCAACACCTTGCCTACTGTACTCGAAGGCTGATTGAATGGGTCTGATTCATTACAAATCATTTGTGTTACTGTGTTTTTACTCGTTCTTTACCACCACCTGCACCTACTCAGTGGTAGAAGAACGAGTATTGATCTCAGTGCGATGTCACGCGTAACGCTATTCATGCTCGCAGTACAGAATATGTACACTTATGATACTTGTACCATTCGAAACGGGGAATGTTGTAGGCGTGACCAACAATGGACCTTTTTTCAAGTTTGACACTACTTTTTTGAGAACTCTTAACAAAATTCGCCGGTTTTCGTTCTAAGTCGATAGACCCGTGCCGCACAACAAATCTTCATCTTGGAACACGAAGCGCATACAGACATGACAATACTACCATTCGAAACTTCGTTTGCTAGTATTACTGGAAGCAATGAAGATTGTTTCGGTCTAATAGCAAAATTTTGAGAACTCTTAACAGATTTCACAAGTTTTCAGTCTAAGTCCTGTCTGCCGATGTTGCTTCTGCTATTGTGCCGCCAACTGTAGATTCATATTCATTTTGGTTTTCACGGAACGCGCATCTTTTTGAAAGCGCCGACTTTTGCAACAATGCTCTTGTCTTGTGACCTGAAGGGAATACCGAGAATAGCGCCTGTTTTAGCCTTCTCTTTAATTTCGTCATCATCCAGTTTCATATGGTACATGTTTAATAATAATATATATTCTCAGAGTAACGTGACACATGTTGACAGAACAACACTCGTTGATTCTACAACCATATAGATGTAAAGCAACTGAGCACTGAAAGAGTCTCTGTAAAGAACGAGTACCAGTATTCACACAAAATTAATTTTGTGTTTTCTTTCCTCCTTGTTTGTCATTTGTCTTATTATTATTATTCCTACTACACATTCCTCTTGTAGTTCCTTTTAAAATATTGTGAATGTGCACAACGTTTCAGGCAAGAAAATTCCGTATAACTTGTACTACTAGGGATTGTTTTTATGTCCCCATTATTTCTATTTTCTGGAAGTTTTAGTTTGATATGCTACATGACTAGTCATGTTTCTGTGTCTAATTTTCAGCGTACCATAACATCTGTTTCATTGATCTGCAGACTCAATTTATATATTTTAGTCTTAAGCGTGACAGTTTTTCCTTTTTTTGTTTGGTGGTGCCTTAACAGGAAAACCTAAGGTAGGACTTACTATCTCCCAGTCCAGTGTTGTAGAAAAAGAATTTCAGTCTGCAGTACCTTTGAAAGTCATTAAAAACATTCCTTACTAAGCCTTACTTTAAAGTGACTTTGTAAAGGCACTGCAGCTTGAGCATCTTTTAAAGGTTCTGGTTCCTGCCTTTTCTTTTTCTAGTGAATTTTATAGTTTGCTAAACTGAATTACTGATTTGTTGTAATCTGGTTGTTATTTATTTTTGTGAAGGGTTTTATTTATATCTGATGCTTTTTTATGACTTCATGCTTTGATATACGTTTCACTTTGACCATTAATTGTGCAAACAAATCACTAACTTGACTTAAAACTTTTAATACCCTTGCTAATGTGAATGTGAGCTTAAGAATAACTTACTGATCATAGTGATTTTTATTCCATTTCTTGGTGATGCGATCTGTGGTTAAAATTGTGATTGGTTACATTCCTATTGTAATTTAATAATTGGCCATAAGTTCATTTTAAAAGTATATGTTTTCTATCTTTTGGTATTGGTACTAAATGTTCATTTTTCTGAAGGTCTAAATAGATATTTTGTAGAATGGGTTAAAAAAAATAATTAAGGGATGAAAGTCACCAAAATTGCATTCATGACTGCATTTTGATGTTGAGTCCTTTTTCTTTTGTGATTTATCAAATTGTAACTACCAGGTTTTGGCATAGTGATTCCCCATGAACACCTGACTACTGATAGATTCAAAAGTCAATGGAAACAATTCATTATTGTAGACCTGAAATAGTTATTTAGGTAGCCCAGACCCACAAGTTCTCTTGTGGTTCTCTGGCCCTATATGTCTAATTCTTATACAGCCCAGAAAAAATTAAAAGATGCTATTTTTAACCTAAACTGCTGGCACTATAATGTCTAAGAAAATGTGAACATTTTGAGCATGCCTGTTACTTTTAAGCACACACACCAGTGTCGGTGACATAAAGGCTGGCAATTTCATAGTAACTCAGTTGTTGCCTCTCCATCAAATAAATATTCTCTAATAAAATAAATTGAATTTATTAAAATTCCTAGTATATAAAATATGGTCACCTTTTACAGAACAGTCTTTAATTATTTTACTCCACAGAACTTAAATGTTGCAGTTTGGAATGTCACCACAATACTGAAATACACATATACTCTCACCTGTGCTGATGCAGCACAATCCCCGAGACATGATTTCTATCATGTTTCTATACTTGCAACAAAACCTAACAGTACATTATTACTTTTCCCAGATGCTGTTGAAAGATGCAATACAGGAATGCTATAAAATAGGTAAACACGGATGCTTTGCAGTCTTAGAAAACCTGTGCCCCCGGAACACTAATGGCAACAGGCTGTGCGGTTCTCAGCAATGTCCACACTCCAGCAGAACCCACGCCAACAGATAGGCCTAGGATGTTGGTACCCATCTTGCTGACAGCAGCTGCAAATATCAGAAGGGTCATTGATTCAGATCCCGACGTAGCCCGGGCGTGTGGGAGCAAACACCCCGGTGTTGCGGGTTTGCATACCCTCTTGGACCACAGGGGCCATGACGGTAAAAGTAGGCAAACTTGCAGCATTGTTGTGTTTGCTCTGATACACCCAGTAAAATGAAATGATATAATGGAGGTTAAGAAGAGACAAGAAAAACAAGTTCTAAAACCTCGGCAAAACACTAACAGAGATCGGTCTCCAAAACGTCTGAAATAATAAACGTCAAAAAATAATTTGATTACAAACCCGCTGTATTCGCCACGCTGACAGTGGCATCCTTAGAGTGCACCAGGACGAGGTTGCCGTCCAGAGGGACTCCGGCGTCGCCAAAAGCAGCGTCGTCGACGGCCAGGAGGACGCTGGCGCCGGCAGCTCCTACCGTGCCTAAAAAAAAAAAAACAAGAGCGGAGGGGTTGACAACGAGTCCGCAGCTCGGGCCGTAGGCGAGCTGGAGTTACAAAGGACAACCAACCGGTGAGCACGCGGCCTTGCACCGTGACGCGCACGCAGGCGGGCTGGCTGAGTCTGTCGTCGTGCGAGGCGACCAGGACGATGCCGGCCTGCTTGGCTATGGCGGGCGCGTTCACCAGGTTCACGCCGGGCTTCTGCACCAAGCCGGCGGCCACTGGCGTGACGAGGAAGGCCTTCTTCTGGAGGGCCGCGCCGGCCGTCTGGACGGCAACCTGCGCGCCCGCGGTGCCCCCGGCAGCCAGCAGCCGCGAGGCCAGCACGCCGAGGCGCTGCGCGAGCGCGATCCAGGGGGCGTTCTCGGGCACCAGGGCGGCGCCGAGCACGGGCGCGTTCACGACCCCCGTCACCGAGTACGGCGAAGAGGGGTCGGCCAGGGCCACGAACTGCTCGGCTACCTCGACGGCTACACGGCTCTGCGCCTCGGCCGTGGACGCGCCGAGGTGCGGCGTGGCGACCACCTTGGGGTGCTCGATGAGGGCGCGCGTCGTGGCTCCCTTGGGGGGCTCCTCGCTGAACACGTCCAGGGCGGCGCCGCCGCAGCGCCCGTCCTGCAGCGCCTTGAGGAGGCCCTCCTCACAGATGATGCCTCCACGAGCTACGTTTACCACCTTGACGCCCTTCTTGCACTTGGTGAAAACCTGGTCGTTGATCATGTCTGGGACAAAGAGGGTTTGAGGTGTTAGTCTCTCTATCAAAGGTCTAGAAGGCTGGCTGGGGCCACCCCTTCCTTCGTGCACATAGTGAAAACAAATGCCGCGGCCAAAGAAGTGGCCCAAGGTGTGCCCAAGAAAGTGGCGAATCTAAAATTCAGAATCAGGCATCTTACGAACGCTTTCGCCATGAGGCTCACAGGCGCTACTCACTGCGAGTCTGAGGGATGAGCGGGGTGTGCACGGTGATGTAGTCGGCCACGGGCCAGATCTGTTCCAGCTCCATCTTCTCGACGTTGAAGGCGGCGGCGTCTTCTCGAGTAACGATGGGGTCGAAGCCGACGGTCTGGAACGAGCGGGAAAGTTGCGACTTGCAGTTTACGCGGTCGACACCTATAATCTAATAGAGGACAATTACGCGTTACGCCCTTCTCAGCCCGCCGCGGGCCACCACCACCAACCACCCTACACCGGGAAAGCAACGGTTTACCGATCACGCGAGAGAAGGAAGCGGCTCTCTGCCCTTCCCTCCCGACACTCCTCTCTGGGCCACTCGTAGACGAATCCGGCGATAAGACAACACGTCTTCTGTCCTGTAGACGGATGAGATGTGACCCCCCACCCCCCGGCCTCAGGCCTCAGGCCTCACGCCTGCCCTGGTCCGGTATGCTCACCTTCATGCCGTAGGCCTGCATGCGGTGGGCGACCTCCCTGCCGATGCGACCCAGGCCGAGCACGGCGAGGGTCTTCCCCTGCAGCTCGCTGCCCGAGTACAGCTTCCGGTCCCAGCGGCCCGCCTTCAGCGAGTGGCACGCCACGCTCACGTTCCTGGTGACGGCAAACGTGAACATAAGACCGTGATCCGAACAACAAACCACCTGCAGCTAGTTAGAGAGGGGTGCAGGGAGGGACACTCTGTCTCACCTGGCGAGGTCAGCGATGAGGGCGCAGGTGAGCTCGCAGGCGCTGATGGAGTTGCCGCCGGGCGTGCTGGAACACAAAGGTAACCGGTCATGCTTCTACGCGTAGCCTGGCGTAGCCCGTCCTGGACGGGTTGGTGTTGGCGCGCTGGGGCGGCCGGGTCCCGCGTCCCTCGACGTAGCGCAAGGCAGCAGCGGCCACAGCAAGGTCAATTATTCATTGGGAGGGGCGGAGGCCGACGCAGGCCCTTGCCCTACCCGGGACCAACAGCGGGGCGTCCCCGGCCGCACTCTGCACTTGCACGCACTGCTGCAACGAGGTGCAACTCACTTGAGGACGATGATGCCCCTGGCGGTGGCTGCCTCCAGGTCGATGTTGTCCACGCCGGTGCCCGCCCTGCCCACGACGCGCAGGTTGGTGGCGGCGGCGATGACTTCGGCGGTCACCTTGGTGTCGGATCTCACGACCAGTCCGTCGTGTTTCTGCAGAGAATAGAGAATAACTCGGTCAGCCCCCGTGTAAAGCACACGATGCAGCGACAAACACAAGACCGCCTTCACTACCAACGCGGGGCAGCCTCTAGTCTCAAGCCCGGGCTCTCAAGCGAAGCTCAAGCGTACCGGAATCTCCTTGAGCAGCTCCTCCTTGGGCATCTTGTACTTGCACGTGACGGGGATGCCATTCTTTTGGAGCAGCTCCACGCACAGGGGATCCACCTCGTCGCTGACGAGCACGCTGCGGAGGGGAATGGCCATGTTGGATCTGTGGAGAGGAAGAAAACATCGAAGATAGGTATAAGTTCCCGCTCTCAAGTCGTCACCGGACTTCCACCCACGCCCACCGAGGACGTCAAGTGTGACACAACGCGCTGTGTGTGGTGATCGAATTGCTTGCCCGATAAGCGGGACGCACCCAGCAACATAGTTGCGTCATCGAGAGCCTGATGAGCGGGGAGCAAAAACAGCTTTTGTTGCAGTAGTGAGCGTACGCCTGCCTGCGAGTACTGCCTCGAACAGAGAGCGTCAACGGTTCAGCCCTATCACCCTCCCCTCCCCCTCCTCCCCCGTCTCACCTAGCCAAGTCTAGCCTTGAACTTGTCACCCGCACCACGGCCGTGAGCGGTGGCCGTGTAACACCCGCCTCCTCTCAGTCCCCAAGGCTGGCGTGCAGCCGATAGATACAAGAAGGCACACCTCTCATTGATTGTGATTAACACAAGGTCTACACTTTTAGAATGCCATTAATTTATAATTAAGTATTTGTAGAATGTGTGCGACAGGGCAGCAGAGTGGAAAAACATGTCGATTGCCCGTCTCATCACAGTGCCACAATCAAGCCAGACCCAAACTATTTATCTATTCTATGGTCTAGGTTTTATTCGAGCTTTATATTACTGCGTTATTCTGAGCACCTCAAAACCTCCGGGCGACCCAAATCCCTTCAAATCATTTCGGTGCGTTACGAGCCACAATGGGCCCACTTGTTGGTGTCTACTGTACGGGCCAAGTTGTTTGGCACGTTTGTTTTCAAGGTCGAACTTTTCATTCCTCCTTGTTTGTCAGCCACTAGAGTGAGCCTAGTAACCAAAGTCACCAAACGGGGACAAACATGACTCTTTCCTTCGTAAGGATCCTGATAAAACCAACCGTGTATATCTCTCATTCCGATTAGGTTTCAGGGGGAATTGCTATAGTGCCTGGTTGCCTTTTGGAAGCACTGAAAATTCGCTGGACAAAACCTGGAGGGAAAATTATAACATTATACTGGGTTTGGCTGATTCGCCCTGCTCACTTCTGTAGTTGGACTGTGTCGCATACACGCATGCGTTCGGGTTGCCTACTAGCTCGGTCCGTAAGGCGCCATGGTCGACCCAGAAAAATGGGTTCTCGGTCCAAGAGTGTAAAATGCACTCGATCCAATGAAGAGCATTTTGCACTTGATTCGAGAACAATTAAACTTGTAGTGAGTCAGATACGCTTGATTCAAGTGCCCATTTTGGTACTTGAATCAAGCGTAAATCAGCCTCACTACAAGTAAAATTGTTCTCAAATCAAGTGCCAAATACTCTTAATTAGATTGAGTGCATCATAGTCTTGAACTAATAACCCATTTTTCTGGGTGTCAGACACGATGTACGAGCGTGCGGTGCAGTATAACCAGTATAACTACGAATGTCGACGGGGCAAATCAGCAAATCAGCTACCTGCCATACTCGCGCCTCGAAAGCGACAACACCTGATTATGTGCCGTTCGAGGGCTGCTCGCTCAGGATAGTCCAGAGAAAGTACGTCCGCAGATTTATTCATTCGGCAAATTACAGGAGCTGGGCGCCTGCGAGACTCGGGGTAGGCCACCCCGTCGTGCACGCATGCACTGCAGACAAGATGTTGCCTACCGATCAGGCGCTAAGAGAGCTTAACACGGGCTGAACTTGGCTTGGCAGTCTCGCGTCGGCAAATGACGGACGTACTTTCTGGACGACCCCTCACACAAATGCACCACTTTCTGTTGTTTCCTCACAGGGCGGCCTACAGAACCCGGAATGTTCTGTAGTTCTACTGTACCGCATCATGCAGGTGGATGGGCTTGCCGCTTGCCTCGCCAACCTCGGCGCCTTGCGAGTAGGCAACGCGTCCGCACGCCTGCATGCGGTACAGTGCAACTAAACTATGCTCCGGGATATGCGGGCCGCGGGCCAGCGGGCCAGCGGGCCCCAGGGACCCCGGAAAATTTTGTAGCGTTGAACAGTACCCCTGCCGGAGGTTTGCCTATTGTCACAACCGTTCTAGCGGGCCCCGGCGGGTAGGGCAACCCAGCTGCACGCATGCATGCAAAACAGTATTCGACCCCGAAAAGAACATATTGTGACATTATTTGGTACGTGGGTACAGCTCTAACGGTGCAAATAAACCTGAAATAACCTGAAGTGTCCTTCGCTCCCCCTTCCCGGTCTGGTTGGCCGGACGAGACGCAGCCCGCAGGGAATGCACACGAATGCATGTTTAGAGAGGCGGTGCAGCCCAGGCCGCAGGGCCGGCTCGCGTGGCTAGAACGAGTCTCGGCTTCGGGCAGCAGCAGCGCTTCTCTGCGCTATCCACTCCACGGCGCCACGCCACAACGTCAACGAGACTCTCGGGTGCGTTAAAGCAGCCCCAGTCATCCTTGAACAGCCACCTGAAAGGTGGTCAATTCGCAGTACAAAACCCCAAAGCAGCCCAAAACACATCGCTACGCCCCCCTGTCGGCCGGAACTTAAAATTAACTGTCCCTACTCTGGACACATGTCAAAGGGAACTGTCGACGGGTCAGTGACACTCCCAGTGACTGGTTGACTTGGCTAGTTTCATGGCAGCAGCAGCGTTAACGAATACTTTACACCAAAGCCTGATAGCGGTGATGTTCGACTACCGGCGAGGCTCACCTGTGTGTGTGTGTCGCTGGTGTGCGTCTGCCGGGACGTGCTGCCAGGCCACTACTGACTGCCGAGCCCGAGTCACTGCCTCGTGTCGCCCCGCGGCTCCGCCCCGCCCC